TGTGAACCCTAAATTGGTGTAATGTTAATGGGTGTTTAACATTGAATATATATAGATATAATGGTTGGTTGATATTTATTCATTTCTTATGCTTCATTTACTGTTGGTGGTTGCAAATATTGACTAATTTTATTTTATTCTATCTTTACTTGGAAAAGTAGGTTAGGGTTTGGTAGAATTAAATATCAAAAACTCAAGGCTTTAAACCTTGTTTAGTAGAATCGCTTAGGAATAAATGGGTTTTATTTGGCATAAATTGGTTATTCTTAATTGCCACTCTTTTATATTTGGGAAAATCATAAAGAGAAAATACTACCCAACTATTGAGAAATATTGGGTAGTCATTTAGAAACCATTTTCATATCAAAGGACCTTCCATTAAAAATATATCATATTAACACCGATAGTATTACATTCCATTGATGGGGACACAAACTTTGTTTCCTTAATCAAATTAATTACATTCTCACAACAAAATAGTTATCTTATTAATTCACAATTACATCATTCTTTTTTTAGCTAAAGGAGCAGAATTACAACTTAAGTCAAGTTTCACACTATTCAAGTAATTTTTTTACACCTATTCCCTGTGGGATTCGACCCCAACCTTGTTGGGTTATTATATTTGACACCGACCGCTTTACACTATTTATTTGAGTGTAATTTGAGCATATCAAATTTTGGCGCCATTGCCGGGGAATACAGTTTTGAAATTACTATTTAGTGTGTGCTTTACTTTACGTCTTCTTCTACTCCAAAACACTTTGCTTGCTTTGCTTGGTGTTACTAGGTAAACATGGCCGAATACGACGAAGAGAACCCTTTTGTGGATATAAATGAGTATATTGAGGATACACATGCCATTGTCCCTCCAAGAGTTGATGCTTCCACCTTCAAGGTGGAACACGGTCAAATCCTAATGCTCAAAGCAGAGGGGGTTTTCAGAAATTCCACCGATGATGATCCGACACAACATCTCAAAAAATTCTTGGGTGTGTATGCGATGCATAAGCAGAATAACTTCTCAGATGATGTTCTAAGACCGAGAGTGTTCGAGTACTCACTAGCTGGAGAGGCAAGGAAATGGATTCAAAATCTACTGCCTAATTCCATTCATTCTTGGCTTGAACTCGTCCGAGCTTTCCCAGCTAAATGGATCCCGCAAAGCAAGAAGTCCGAGCTCCGGGATAAAATTTTCTTCTTCAAGCAACTACCGAAGAGCATCTACATGAGGCATGGGATGGATTCAAGCTATATCTAGTGAGGTCGTCGAATCATGGTTTTCCGGACAACATTTTATTGTAGAAGTTTTACATGGGCTTGGATCCTTTAAACCAATCCATAGCAAAAAATGTAGCTGATGGATCTTTTATGGATAAAACATTTGCAAGGGTCACACAAATTCTTGACAAGATGGCAGAACATAACCAAGCTTGGCACTCGGAAGACACTACGGGTGGAATTGCATATGATACTCCTTCCTTGACCAACATGATTAAGGAGAACCAAGAGATAGATCAAGTAATTGCCCGGCTTGCTACCAACATCAACATGTTGACCAAGATGTTCACTGAAAGCCAAACAAAAAAGGTGAATATTGTGGAAGATGTGCAACCCTTGTCAAATGAGGATTGCGAGGAAGCAAATTATGTCAACAACTCTCAAGGAGGTTATCAAAGGCAACCCTATCAAGGTTCAGGACAACAACGTGTTGGGTTATTATATTTGACACCGACCGCTTTACACTATTTATTTAAGTGTAATTTAAGCATATCAAATTTTGGCACCATTGCCGGGGAATACGGTTTTGAAATTACTATTTAGTGTATGCTGTACTTTACGTCTTCATATACTCCAACACACTTTGCTTGCTTTGCTTGGTGTTACTAGGTAAACATGGCCGAATACAATGAAGAGAACCCTTTTGTGGATATAGATGAGTATATTGAGGATACAAATGCCATTGTCCCTCCAAGAGTTGATATTGCCACCTTCAAGATGGAACACAGTCTAATCCTAATGCTCAAAGCAGAGGGAGTTTTCAGAAATTCCACAGATGATGATCCGACACAACATATCAAAACATTCTTGGGTGTGTGTGCGATGCACAAGAAGAATAACGTCTCAAATAATGCTCTAAGGCCGAGAGTGTTCGAGTACTCACTAGCCGGAGAGGCAAGGAAATGGATCCAAAATCTACCACCTAATTCCTTTCATTCTTGGCTTGAACTCGTCCGAGCTTTCCTAGCTAAATGGTTCCCGCAAAGCAAGAAGTCCGAGCTTCGGGATAAAATTTTCTTCTTCAAGCAACTACCGGAGAGCATCTACATGAGGCATGGGATGGATTCAAGCTATATCTAGTGAGGTCGCCGAATCATGGTTTTTCGGACAACATTTTATTGTAGAAGTTTTACATGGTCTTGGATCCTTTAAACCAATCCATAGCCAAAAATGTAGCTGATGGATCTTTTATGGACAAAACATTTTCAAGGGTCACACAAATTATTGACAAGATGGCAGAACATAATCAAGCTTGGCACTCGGAAGACACTACGGGTGGAATTGCATATGGTACTCCCTCCTTGACCAACATGATTAAGGAGAACCAAAAGAGAGATCAAGTAATTTCCCGGCTTGCTACCAACATCAACGTGTTGACCAAGATGTTCACTGAAAGCCAAACAAAAAAGGCGAATGTTGTGGAAGATGTGCAACCCTTGTCAAATGAGGATTGCGAGGAAGCAAATTATGTCAACAACTCTCAATGAGGTTATCAAAGGCAACCCTATCAAGGTTCAGGACAACAACGTGTTGGGTTATTATATTTGACACCGACCGCTTTACACTATTTATTTAAGTGTAATTTAAGCATATCAAATTTTGGCACCGTTGCCGGGGAATACAATTTTGAAATTACTATTTAGTATGTGCTTTAGTTTACATCTTCTTCTACTCCAATACACTTTGCTTGGTGTTACTAGGTAAACATGGCCGAATACGACGAAGAGAACCCTTTTGTGGATATAAATGAGTATATTGAAGGAACGAAGGACCTGTGGTCTGCGGTAACTATGCGGTCACATAATGGATTTGCAGACCGCATAGTGGTCGCAGACACACTCAGAAGAAAATGCAATTTTAGCCCTCAAAAATACAATGAGATTTCTAATTCTACAGTCCACATAACGATTATGCGAATGCAGAATGCATCACGAAGTAAGTTTTAGCAAAGCAGTCAATAACTCAAAGCATAACACATATGTGACAGCATAATGTGTTATGCAATCCACTTTTCCACCGCAGAACCCCCAGGTAGTAAGCCATAGGGCCTTTTGTACTTCAGTCGCACACCCTATGTCTCTCACACACAAGCACCGCACAACAAAAAGCGATAAAGAAAAGGGAAGAACAAGAAAAAGACCAAAAACACCATATTAACAACACAAAATCACAAAAAGTAAAAGGAATTGCACAGAAAGAGGTCACCTGGTTCGTATCTCAAAACAAGTTCTTCAACTACTCAGATATCTGGTATGTAAATGTTACTCCCTCTCTTGCTTAATTACATTGAAGAATATCATGTTTTTGCATTTTTCCCCTTCTTCTCAATCCCTTGTTGAGGGTATCAATGTGTGCATAATTGATGTACAAATCATTGTTTGGAGGAAATTGAGGCTGGGGGTAAACTGGGTTTCAAAGATTTAATCTGTACAATAGGAGTAAAGAACAGAGTGGGAATTTTTTCCATGTCATAGGTGTGAAATTTTGGAATTTAGATGTTAGAAGCTGTGTAAAATGAGTGGGTCGACCTTTTGATTAAGGATGATGATCTTTGCGGTCCGCATAACTGGTTTGCAGTCCGCAGAGTCGTCGCATTTGGTGCCCTAAGTGGCCTGTTAAGAAGAGCTTCTACGGTTGGGTTCACAATCGCAGATTCATTTTGTGGACCATGAAATTGCACAGACTGAGGTAGATAGTTTGCAACATCTGGTATGTAAAAACGCGACCACTCTACGGTCGCATAACCTATTATGTGGTAACTTTTGTGATCGCATTCCTTCTTTGGCTTTTGAGAGCTATAATTTAGCGATGGGTTTGCAGCTCGTAGAGTTGTTATGCGATCGCATAACTCCTCACAAATACTTCTTGCTTCCTTTAAATTCTCTCAATATGTTCCCATTCTATATCAACTACTCACCCACTAATTCATTGACAAGAATGGCACCAAAGAAGTCTCTCATATTGCAATCACCTCCTGCTCGAGGAAACAAACGGGCTGCTGCCCTGAGCCAACAAGCACACCAATTCAAACGCACCCGGCCTAACACAGCCATAAGGACATCTAAGCATTCCTCCCAGTCTAACGAGGAGGAGACACAGACTGATCTTGTGCCACCTATTGACCTCCTTGCTGAAGCACGCCAAAAAAATGATGAAGATCTCAGGTTTGGGGTTTCCGGCTCTCGGACCATGTACAGGGAAGGCTTAGGAATGAGAAAAATCCTTGAAGAGAAGAAGCTCAGCTTGAACGGCTTAAAAGAACACTATCCCCATATACTAGAAAAAATCAAAAAAAGGGGGTGGGAGTCCTTCAGTCATGTCCCAGGAGAGTACAATGAGACAGTCACGTGGGAATTCTATGTTGCCTATGCTGCATCTAGGAACACAGAACAAAAGAGAAACCGTAGGTTGCTGGACTCTGTTTTAGTCCACGGAGTTGAAGTCCTCTATGATGCAAGATCAATCAATGATGTATACTTAGAGGATTGGGAGCCAGGCACTGCAAAATATGACGAAAAGATTAAAAACAGGGAATCCGAGCGTGCTTGGGTAGCTTCTGTCATAGCCAAGGGAACTCCGCCCTGGATTGCATCTAAACAAATGATCCACAAGAGGGATCTTACCTAAGAAGGTCGGTACTGGCTAAGTTTTGTCTGTTCCCATCTAATGCCCTCAAGAAATAAAACAGATATAAGCATTGAGAAGGAAATCCTCATTGCATGCAGACAACAACTTGGCTCCCTTTTCCATGCCTAATCCATGCCTTGTGTAAAGCTGTAACGATTCCTCCTATTCCCAAACATGATCTCATAGCAAAAGCTGTTCAGGATATTGACATCACCCTGATAAATGATGCTACAGATACAGAGGTCGACAATCCAATGGAGCCTTCACTCACTCCTCCTCCATCCTCAGCAACACATGCTACCTCATCAGACACTCCTTCCGTACCAGCCACTTCCACATCTACTCCTAGACAAGCCACTACACCATTAACTGCCTCATTGCCTGCACTCTCAAAGCTTAGTCTACTGGCACAACATGCAAATGCCAAAGTAGACAAACTACTGAAAGAACTTACATTTCTCATCCAACAAGCACTGGCCCCAATCCAAACCTCAATCACTAGTCTTCAAAAACAAAATCTATCTCATGAAGATCGACTCAAGCACTTTGAAGTGCGCCTTGAGAGGGTTGAGCGAGGCGAAGTTGGGGACATGCCTCAACTTAAGAGGGAGGTAGCTAAGCTAAAGTCAGAGTTGCTTGCAGTGCAAAAACTGGAGTTTGATTTTAGCTCTCTTCTTCCGGAGGCAGGGGAGCAGGGCACTGGTACCTCCCAGATTCCGAGCCTTGGACTTGACTTCAACAACCTCATGACAGCTGAGGTGGCCCCTGAGGTGAGCCATGGTACTAAGACATCACAAGCTGCAAGCTCTATTGTGCACATAGAGGATCATTCAGAAGAGGAATCCGAAGGGTCTGAGGAGGAAACTGATGAAGAGGAAACTGAGGAGGAAGGGTTACTTGAGGAGGATGAGGGTCAGCAGAACAACAAAGCCAAGCAGATTGCTGTTTTTATAGAGACACCGGATGAGGAGGAAGAAGATGTGTGCAGAAAGCTATTGCACATTCTGTTGTAGATATGGTCGCCAAAGACACTCTTGTGACCACACAGTCATAATTGGGTGAGGGTAGAAGCTCCTAGGTCCAAGACCCAGCTTTGCAATTGGCAGAGCTTCTTATGTTGGTCCCAGGCACTACTGCACAATCTGAGGTGCCACCCACTGCCTCTAGCCCCACGGCCACTTCAGATACTCCATCTACTGTCCAGTTAGAAGATCCACATGCTGCTTCCATAGTGCCAACATCTGACCCCACAGCTGCTCCGATTGTTTCGGCCCCTCCTAGCACCTAGTGTACCTCAGGAAACCCCTAAAATTTGCTCTTACTTTCTCAATGCATTAGGGACAATGCATGCTTTTTAGTTGGGGTTAGGATAGTCCAATGTTTGTATGAAACTTGTAATATAAACTCTTTTCTTTAATAGTGTAAATGTATAGATAGCAATGAATTCCCCTTGGTTTTTCTTCGTTGGGTTCTTTTTCAAGGGTGTAGTAGTAGAACCATGGTGGTAGCACTAAACGTTTTGACTTGTTTGGTGTTGTTTTTATAGCTTCAAACATGTGGACTCGAGGCTCGCTCTCTGACTTTATGCCTACTTAGAATCTCAAATATTGTGTGATGAAGCTTTGAGTTGCCTTGCATTCATTTGAGGGATGAAATTATGCTGAGTCGAACATTCATGCGTTGTGAGTGAGTGAGGATTTATATATATAATGCATATGCTTAACTTGTGATGTCTACAACTTGCCCGGTTGATTTCTTAATGCAACTCTCAGGTTAATGATTGGGTGCTGAAATGATCTTAGGCTCTATTTGTGATTGCTAGCTAATTTTGACCAAATTGACCTCCCTGGTTCATCAATTACCCTAGTTACCCTCGTTGAGCCTTTAACCTTTTATTTGGCTACCACATTACAAACCTTTACCCCTTTGTGAAATAATTCCCTTTTTTGAACCCATCCTTCCTTGAACAATTAAGAATGAGGCTAAAAGCCTAAGTTGGGGGTGCCAGTGTTAAGTGGAAATTCCTCAAAGTTGTATATATGAAGATACTCAAGCTCCGAAGAAGGAAAAAAATATTATATATATATATATATATA